ACTAAATGTTGTCGATGGATGACACAATGTATTGCTAACACTCCTGACACATTTTGTTTTAAATAGCTTATAAATCCACGATAACGTCCAACCATGGCAGGTGCTCCATCTGTAGCTACTGATATTATATTTGATAAAGGAATTGCTTTTTCAATGAAATAATCCTTCAAAACATGAAATATTGATTCACCTTTAGTGTCGGTTATCAAAGTTCTTGCTAAGAGCAGTTCTTCGTAGATTTCTTGATTCATAATAAAACGAACATATGCCAATAATAATGCTGCATTATCAGGTAAAGTTGACTCGTCCAGTTGTATAGAGAAATGGGTCGTTTGCAAATAATTACATAAAAATAATTTAAATATCAGAACTCATTTCATCAATACGTCTTTCAACAGTATTGTTGCTTAAGGGAATTCTTTTAATGATATCAGATGCAGGTTTGTATAAAACAGTTTTTAAAACCTCTTCAACGGCTGGCAAAATTAACTTCTCTCCGATAGTATGCGGTTTTCCGGATTTTGCTATAAGTAACGAGATATTGTAAGACGCCCGCAAACCATCATCATTTCTTTGTGACGTCGAAGCGAACATTCTGTCCAGTGTTGGTCTCTTCTGAAGTTTATCTTTGAGTGTTTGAAAGTATTTCAAATCTTTCTCTGTTTTATCAGGGTGGCATCTTCTCAGATGATCTTGCAGTTTAGATGGTTTCATAACGTCATTGCCCAAAACTTTGTTGCATAAAAGACTCATAGGCAATTGTTTGTCCGGCAATGATGGAATGAAGCCAAATTTCAAATAATCGACACTGTACTGTCTATATTTCTTTTTAGATTCGGACGTGGCATCAGTCACCTGTGGGCAAAATTAAATTATTTAAATAAGACAGAAAATCCAGCAGCTGTATATTAAAAATATTTTTTGACTTTTCCGAAAACATTCCATAATTCGAGCATCTTCTTGCAACAATTAGCTTGAATTACGGAGATTGCACTGTAATTATAATACCGATTGCTAAAACTTTCAAAAAGAAACTATTGAGGAGTACTCGTGTAATTTTGCATGATTGAATATTAAACTACTAATAACTAAAGTCATGATTGGCGTAATTTATCTATCTTTGCTAACTACGAGTACAAAACTAAAATTTAATAAAAAATAATGTACTTACTTTTCTCCAGCACTCTCAAACAAAATAACACTGACTCACTATAATTTGTGTGATATACTATCTGTTTATATTTTTTAAAATATTTTCTTAGCACTTTCCTTTTCAAGATTCAGGAAACGAATAAACGTATTTGTCCCACATTCGTATTTATAGAGTGACGAATTGAAAAAGTCAGTGCAAGGTAGCGAAGCTCTGAGACTGCGAATCTCAGGTTTTTACAAGTTCAAAATGTATTGCGACCACAAAGCGAATACCAACATCCTACAACTTACACAAATTTATAAACATATATAATAATTGTTTTACTTCATAGGTACCTTTATAAATAATGTATATGTTTTGATATTATAAGATAGTATGATGTAAGTAAATAGGTACTATCAGTGTATGTGTTGAGATCCACTATCGTGGACCCCCATTTTCATTTCATGGACCCCCAAATTTTTTTTTCCGCTGACGTAGACCCCTTGCAGATTGTCATAGACCCCTAGGGGTCAATATAGACCACTTTGGGAATCACTGGTCTAGGTCATATCATCAATTTCCATTTTTTTTACTAATTGCAGTTTTTTTTCATAATGTAATTTAATTTTAACTAAATCCATATGAAATTACACGTATAATAAATTTGTTTGTGGTCAAAATCATCATTTTTTTTTCAAGAAATGAGATAAAAAACTTTACATATAAACGTACACGCACGTACATTTAAACTTTTTACTTTACTTTACTTTACTGCCGCCGTGTTTGGCACTATAGGTCAGCCGATTGAGATAGGATGCGGTCTTTCTTTGCATCCTACCCTTGGGGGCGGGTTTGCTTCTCGCCGGATGATCCCAACGTTGTTGCTGATTCTGTCGCTGATGTGGTACTTCAGGGTATGGAACTTTTTATTCCTTCCTCTGTGGTGCCCATTGGAGGCAAATCTCAGCCATGGTTTGGTCGCTCCTGTAAAATAGCATCATGCTATAAGCAGGAGTGCTACCGAGCCTGGGCTGACGCATCAGCGTCCAGGGATGTAAACACCAGCGCTCTAAAAAAGTAGTATAATTCCGCCTCTAGGTCCTTCAAAAAAGAGTCATTGCCAAGGCAAAGTCAGAGCACATAGGCAGAATTGGCGAGAGACTAGTTCGTCTTCCTTCTGGAACCCGTGCATTGTGGTATCTCGCCAAGGCTGTTCAGGGGAATTTCTGTCAGCCATCTCTTCCATCTCTGCACAGGGAGGATGACTCACTGGCCCACACCGCAAAGGAGAAAGCCGATCTTCTAGGCTCTTTCTTTGCGTCTAACTCGACTCTCGATGACGGGGGAGTACGCCGCCGACCATCCCGCGGTGTGAGTGCTCCATGCCGGAAGTGCAGTTCACTCAGCGCTCGGTTCGCAAAGCACTCCTCTCCCTGGACATCAATAAGTCGAGTGGGCCTGATAGAATCCCCCCAATTGTGCTGAGGACGTGTGCTCCAGAGTTGGCACCGGTTTTAACGCGTCTTTTCCGGTACTCCTACTCCCTAGGCGTAGTCCCAAAATCATGGAAGACGGCTTTCGTCCACCCGATCCCTAAAAAAGGCGACCGCTCGACCCGTCCTACGGCTATCGCATCCCCTTGTTCTCCAAAACAATGGAGTCCATTGTAAACTGCCAGCTCATGAGGTACCTTGAGGATCACCAGCTGATTAGTGACCGTCAATACGGTTTTCGTTGTGGTAGGTCAGCTGGTGATCTTCTGGTCTACCTAACTCACAGATGGGCGGAGGCAGTAGAGTCCAAGGGGGAGGCATTGGCCGTTAGTTTGGACATTGCGAAGGCCTTCGATCGGGTTTGGCACAATGCGCTTCTTTCGAAGCTCCCCTTCCTATGGGCTTCCCGAGAAATTGTGCGATTGGATCACCAGTTTTCTTGCAGATCGGAGCATCAAGGTCGTTGTAGACGGTGCTAGCTCCGATTGCAAGCTTATTAATGCTGGTGTTCCACAGGGCTGCGTGCTATCGCCAACGCTGTTTCTTCTGCATATCAATGATATGTTGCAAACCCGTAGCATTCATTGCTATGCAGATGACAGCACTGGTGATGCTCTTTACACCGGCCGAGCCAATATTTCTCGGGAAAACGTCTCTGAGTGCCGGGACAAACTTGTGTCTGAAGTCGAGTCTCTGCTGGACAGAGTCTCGGATTGGGGGCGACTAAATCTAGTCCAGTTTAACCCCCAGAAGACACAAGTTTGCGCGTTAACCGCTAAAAAGAACCCCTTTGTCGTATCCCCTCAGTTTCAAGGCACTCCCCTTGTTGCCTCAGCCAGTATCGGAATCCTCGGCGTCGACATATCGAGTGACGTGCAGTTTCGTGGTCACTTGGAAGGGAAGGCCAAATTGGCCTCTAAAAAGCTTGGCGTGCTCAGCAGAGCGGGACAGTATTTCATGCCGGCACACCGCCTGCAACTTTACAAGGCGCAGGTTCGGCCGCTCATGGAATACTGTTCCCATCTCTGGGCTGGGGCTCCCCAGTACCAGCTCCTTCCACTTGACCGCATCCAGCGCAGAGCGGCTCGAATCGTCGACGACCGAGTGCTTTCCGATCGGCTCGATTCACTGGCGCTGCGAAGAGATGTTGCATCTCTTTGCGTATTTTATCGCATCTATCACGGGGAGTGCTCTGAGGAATTGTTCGGATTAATCCCAGCCGCCAAATTTCGTGAACGCACTACACGGCAAACGTCCCGATACCATCCACACCATCTGGATGCTTGGCGGTCCACCACTGTACGTTTCAAAAGGAGTTTTCTTCCGCGTACAACCTCTCTGTGGAATAATTTACCACCGGTGATTTTTCCGGACCGATACGACCTGGGGACCTTCAAGAAAAGAGCTTACTCCTTTCTAAAGGGCCGGCAACGCACCTGCAATTCCCCTGGTGTTGCGGTTGATCATGGGCGGCGGTAGTCACTTAACATCAGGTGAGCCACATGCTCGTTTGCCCCCTCTTCTATAAAAAAAAAAAAAAATTTACGCCCGCAAACAATAACCGTACTAGTCATTTTAGATTGTACAAAAGAACACTATAGAGATAATGAAGCTCTATATATAAAAATCAATTGCAGTCAGTTAGTGGTATTAATTAAATTTTTATGTGTCTCTGAATAGATCTCTACATGGTTTAGATTCACATTGGGAACCGGTAGGTGGCGCTGTTATCGATCCAGAAATCACCCATGCGAAGCTGGTGACGATCGCTACTACTTAACATAAGTAAGCGATAATCAACGCAGTGTAATGGGGAATAACTTCGTCAATTGCTTATCTCAACTACGCGAGGTGCACCCTGCTAACAAAGGACACTCTAGCGACCAACAGATGGCGGTAATACGTTCGGAAATTACATGCCCAAGCCCCACATACTGGGTATCAACTCTGCGCTTTTTTTATAGGATATGGTGACAAACGAGCACATAGTTCACTTAACGACGGTAAGTGGTCGCTGTGGCCCACAGCCATCCACATCTGTCCTCGACTACGAATCAAAATGCAGATGTGTTGCCACCCGAGAGGACCAAGATGGAATACCTCGTTTCCAGTAAAAAGGGTCTCCGGTTCTCTACACTGACCATACGAAACACAGCAGCATTAAGTCACTGTTTTACTCTGGTATTCTGAGAGAGTGTGGTCCTTCCCAGGTCAAGCCGACCCATTCGTGCTACAACTACACTACTAATATAACTGCAGCATGTCTTTACCACATATGAAAATGCAATGAAAATGCTTACGATCTGACCTGCTCAGTGTAGTGAGTATGGACAAATCTCTTAAGTATATTTACGAAATAGAGAAGAACTTACCTATAATATTTCGCCCAGCCATTAACAGCCCATGATCTTACTCTAGAAAAGTCTGTATTGTGGGTCTTCTTTGGTTGCAGGTGGAAATGATCCAACACATGCAGTAAATGATCCCAATTCTGCATGAGGAACACATCAGCTTGGTCCATGATAAGGATTTCAATGGAGGCCAAAAAGTCATAGTCCCTGTCTTCTTCACCCTCAGCTCCCACTATCATTCGAAGTCCCAGTGGAGAAGCAATCAAAATGTCGGACGAATAAAAATCTGTATATAGCTGGAAAATTTAAACTATTTTTAACAATTTCCATATCAAGTCTGGTTTTGCAACATGTATTTATTAGCACCTTAATAATTCATTTAAAAATGTAACATAATCGGAAAGTAAAAGGATAGATAAATTGATAAAAATGTCTTTAATGCACAAGAAATAAATTTAACATAAAGGGTCGAACATGATGCCATATTGGCATTATCTACCCGCTAACCTTTTCTAGTGTGGTGAGAGCTACGAGTAGAGCAGCAATAAAACAATCTTTTCATTTAGAAATTAAGTTACAAGTATGGACACAACTCAAAACCGTTTCAGACATATAAAGTTCGGCGCAGCCCATGTATTTTGGCATTCCGCCGAATAGCAGGTTAAAATAGGAAGCAACACATGAGTTATCCAACTAAGAGTAAGTGTTCTGGAGAATAATTTTTTGCTATTATTTCAATGAGTTTATCATGACAAAAAATCGTTTTCGAACCTCATCACTTGCAGCGCCAAACTAAAGTCATATGTTGATAGCAAAGATCTTGTAATTGAGAAATAAAAAAAATGATTAAAGAGCTTTTTCATCACTCAAATTGGAACTATTCGCAATTGCCAACACGCTTTTCGATACTTATACTATTCCTCACTTATAGTCAGAAGTCAAAAGGTTTATTTAACTTTCCTATAATGTCATAAACAAGAAGGGAAAGGAAAATCAATAACAATCGCAAAAGAAAAATTTTTGCAGTTATTGCACAGCGGGTTTTTTTTTATAGGGTAGGGTGACAAAGGAGCACACAGTCCACCTGATGGTAAGTGGATGCTGTGGCCCATAGACATCTATATTTATCCTCAATTAAGAATCAAAATGCAAATACCGTGTCACCCCTGAGGACTAAGATGGAAACCTTGATTCCAGTACAAAGGGTCTCTGGTTCTCTATGCTCACCATACAAAACACAGCAGCAGTATGCTGCTATTTTACACTGGTATTCTGTGAGAGCGTGGTGCTACCACGGGCGAGCCGACCCGTTCGTGCTATTCGTTAACAATCTTTTAAAAATCTCAATATTCTAACATTACCATGCATATATATATATATATATATATATATATATATATATATATATATATATATATATATATATATATAAGTATGTAAAGAAAGCACCCAATTTTTACACCAAAATCATAGACGCGCCCCAGCACAACATACCTTGCTATAAAAATAACCTTTTGCAAATAAAATCTAAATTAAAATTACACAGTTCACATCCATATCCTGATATCAATTAAAATTTATAATATATTGCCAGAGTACCTAAAAGCCTAAACATATATTAATAAAATTCATAAGGTCTTTAAAAAATATACTTATTAAAAAGTTACACTCAAATTAATACGTTGAGGAAAAGAATTTTTGAGTGTCTGCCCCTCTCCTGTTCATTGCTATGCCTTTCGAGGTGCACGTGATTGTTAATTACTTGCATGTTTTGCTAAGTCACTAAGTCTCATGTATCGCAATTTGTAAATAAATAAATCTCTAAAATGGTTAATGAGGAATGGTGTATTGACATGTTAAAAATACCTTAAGTGTTTTTTTCGTCAAAGTCATGCCCAATCTAAATGTATCTTCAGTGTTGCCACTGAATAATAACTCATAGTCTTCAGGCTTAGGATTTTTGGTAGGCATTAGCAGTTCTCCGCCAGTGAAATCTTCTTCAAACCTATTTTTATTCACAACTTGACCAGCTTCTTTTGGAACTAATATATCTATTAATGTCTTTACAACCCTATAAGCAGCATCTTTAAATGGCACCATTATCAAAACCTGTAAGTAATAAATAAAATCACTTTTATGTAATAGTATGAAAAATAATAGTATAAATGGGAAAAAAAGTGTGTATCAAAAATCATCACACATTTAAAGTCCCCTTTTCAACATATATACTGGGCACAATCAAAGTTTTTTACATTTATTAGTTAAAACTTCAACGGAATATGTTAAAGTTTTCAATTATAGGTAATCAAATCTACTATATACTACTCAAATACTCTTAGAATTTCTATATATTATGGGAAATTACTGTAATCACTATGATTCCATTGCCAGTCCAATTATTTTGCATCGCGATACAAGATTCTTATACCATAATTTAATATTGAAGACCATGAGACCTTCATGACATTTCTCAAATCGCCTCTTACAATACTCCAAAATATTAAATTGTTGTATATCACCATGTGGTTGTTGTAGGAGGTGACAGAGGGAAATGGAAGGGCAGCAGGATCTTGCTGATAAGAACTCAATATAATAATAAAATTGTCATTGCCAATCTGGCTACCAAGCTTAGTTACTATGGACGATATCTCCCTTAAGAGACAATCTATGGGGGATGCCTATTTTTAAACAGTGGCCTTTCAAAAAGTTGTAATAAATGAAAGAATACCACAGACAATGTAACATGACAAAATGGAAATTACATACCTAAGAATTGACAACAGTTAAATTCAGCTTTGGTAGCAGAAGAAAATCAGTGACAATGCAGATGTCACACCACAACAGCATTATCTCATGTCATGGGTCATAAACAGGTGTAAGGACACAGTAGCTACATATATTCTGCTGAATTGGCACTTTGCACTTGTGTGCGAGGTGCACTCGGCGGCGAATGCCAGTCGTTCACTGTCACTGCCCATGCTAGGTCGCTACCAAATAGGAAACATTACTGTATCGCCAATACCAATATTTTTATCTGTGAAATTGTGGAATTCCGAATGGAAACATCAGTGATATTTGTGACTTTTTTATTGAAACCTGATAGACACGTGTGAGTCATAATACAAAACTGTTAGGCATAAGTGACCAATACCAACACCCATGTATATTGTTAAGGACAACGGCCATACACAGGTATTAGGCGAAGACTGGTCCAAACAGTAGTGCCTGCACTGCTGTGTTCTGGTCTAAAGCATATAAAGAGCCATTATAATAATGAATTAAAAGTTAAAGAATATCATACCTTTGGTCTCACCAATCCCTGATCCCTATATTCATCAGACATTTCCAACTTCTTCGATAGCTTTGCATTGTGGTGTAAAATTTTAGTGCGAGTTTTCAGAATGTGATTAACAACATGCAGGCAGTATGTGTAGCGAATTTCGTCTGCGTTGCTAAATGTTCTTTCAGGATAATAGATGTCTTGATAATTATTAATAATAGCAAATAATTCCTTTTGTAAGGGTGTGAAAATATCTGTTAAGTCCAAATCACATTTTATAAGGTTAGTTTTATTTGCTGATACAATATTGCCATGGATTTGTGATTTTATAAATAAACTATTAAAATCTACATGGTTAATATAATGTGGCACAGTTCCTTCAGGTGCATATGTTTTTTCTTCCAGTATAGAAAATTTAGGCCTTACTCTTTTTGAAGATATTTCTACTGGCTTAGGCAAAGTGATCACTAAATTACTTAGAACAGGCCAGACTTTTGTCACATTATCCACAGTAGAAATGGCATTTGAAAGAGAAACCATTAATTCATCACTAAGGTCATATTGAAAGTGTTTAGTAAAGGGATCATCTGCGATTTCTTCATCAGGCTCCAGGTCACATTCATCATTATTCTGAAAACAATATTTTAGCATTGTTAATAAAGGGAATAGTATATAATACACTACATCACTACTTACCACTACAGAGTAGTAAGTAGTCAAGCACTGACTAATATTAACTTAAATATTTTTGAATACAATCTCTTGCAAACAGTTTCGAGCATAGGTATAAACTTTCTAAAACTATCGACGTTACTAGGTATGACAGTATCAGACATCTTTTTAAGATGTCATTTTTCCTATGGATTTTTATCATATATCAAAATGTTGGTTTTGCTTAAACAACACTATTATATCTAGGTTTAATTTAATCAATATCACAATAGCCATTTGTTGACCATTTCTCTGCTACAAAGGATTGCCTTTCTAAGTTTGAACTTATGTTAATTAATAACAAGCTTGGCGAGTGAATTAACATTAATATAATAATCATGGACTGACAATCTGGTAAGAGATACAGGTAGATGATGGTTGCAAGCGCCTTGTGGTAGACATGCCTCAATCATGAATGATTTGTTCATTTGATCTAGGGCATATCAGTGTGTTGATGATTGCAATCACATTTTTTGAACAATCTGGAGCAAACAATTGACGGGACCTATGACTAAAGAGTATAGTAATGTCCAACGAACAACATTATCAAACAAGTCTCACAGATCAGGGAGTAATGATACTCGTAATGATCCATTTGAATGATCGACCCAAATGACCCAATTCGTTAGACAAATCAACACTCGAGTGATCAGGTCATTAGAATATGAATGAATGACACATGGCTACCACATGTAATTCATAGGGCCTATATTTAGCGGAAAATTGCCATGGGTTTTAATAATGATAATAAATACAACAATGCTATGATACAAAGATTTATAACAATTATTTCAAGTGAACCATTTTTTTGTATTCATTTTTGATTAAATTCATCATAAATTCTTAACAAAATCTGTCAAAAATAATGTGTTTATTTGGTTCTTGTGAGCATATCATCATATAAGTAAAATGTCAATTTAAGAGTTTTCATTACCTTTTCTTTGCTTGACAAAGGTAGTAAACTCTTCAATGTACTCTGTACATATCTTAGTTAAAACTTTGAAAAGCTATTAAAAATTAACTTTTGCTTAGAAAACAAAAATAATTAAAGTTGGATTTCGTAATATACATAGAATGGCACTACAATAAATGATGGAAGTAACTTTAAATAGAGTTTTGTTACACTAAAAATCAACTAAATATATATTTAGTAGTTTAGCCTCAGGAAATTTATGTTTTAGTAGTTTTTCACAAAATTTTATGTATCAAATCAACACACTTGAAGGTTTTGTATGTATGTATATATAAATTGTTTTGGGTTCTACAAGATTTTACTGAGTTTTGGCGGGAACTTGGCCGTAGACGGATTGTCGCTCCTGTTTTGTCGCTTGAATAATGGTTTGAAGTGGATTTTGATTCGTAAAAGTGATGCGATTTTGTGAATAAGTGTCCGCGCGTGTGAACTATTAGAGAAAACGACAAAACAAGTGCTTTGATGTCGATATAAACCTCAAGTTATTTTGATCGCTTGGGCGCCTCATGAACTTGAGTGGCTGTCGTCATCAACTATCTGCTAGGTTGAGCTGTCGTCAAAATCTCCCAAGGGCTTCGCAATGTGACGCATCAGCATATTGTGAAGAAAAAAAAACATAAAATGATGAAATATTAAATACAAATAAGGAATGGTTAACATGTACTTACCGGACATTGGCAGAATTATTGTGACATTATCACAATACCAAGGGCCATATAGTTATTTAAAAAATAAAAAGATTTTACTAGTATTTTCAATTAATTAATATTTACTACACACATGTGTAAGTTTGATGTTGGATTATCTTAAAAAGTTTATTAAATTTTTAGTAAACAAGTGGTAAAATAAAAAAAATTATGCAACCAACTTCAATATAACTAAAATGAGAACATCATCAATGCATTCGAAGTCAATTAAATATGCTATGCGACTACTTACTGGTCAGATATTGATTAAATTTATATGGGACCACACGAGAAGCACCAGCCTTCAGATATAAAAAGAATCATCAAAACCAATTCACCCCGAGAAAAGTTCTGAGGTAAAACATAAAAAAAACATACAGTCGACTTGAATTTTTTTATGTTATGTCTAAAATAAGATTATTACTTAGTTAGACTGTCTCATTGGTATATTGGTTGTAAACTGTTGATCATGAGGCACTGAGTTCGAATTCCAGGTTGGGCCAAAAAAATCAATCATTGAGATTTCCCAACAAGAAATTTTTAAGTCAGGAATCTGGCAGTGTCTCAACCCTATGTTTCGGAAAGCATGTAACAGCCGTTGGATCTGCTTCTGATCTCTCTCCAGTTGTGTTTGTTTATCTTCCTATCGGACTATGACAATATGGGAGTAGAGAGTGCACCTGCGCTTATGCTTACACTTGGGCACTATAATAATGTCCTGCGCTGATGACTAGTCTCCGTTAAGACTGGCCGCCATGGCCAAAATTTGGTCGGTAGGACATTATTATTATTATTAGTTATGGATTGGGGATAAAGTTTCTTCATATTTGGTTTATAAAAATTGAAGAAAAATCTCTTTGGTTCTACTGTTAGTATCTGGCTGGTTTTTATACCAATACATATATAACATTAAGCAAAAAAAACGTTAAAAGAACATTGTCCTGCCATTTTCAAGTGTTTTCTGTCAGCCTAAATGAGTGAATCTAACAAAGGAATTCCATAAATTTTAAAGTTTTATTACAAAAAAGGGAAAATGCAACTCAAGCCACGAATAAAATTAGTGATTTTTATGGACCTAATGCAGTGTCAGTAAGAGGAGCACAAAACTTGTTCAAGTGTTTTCAGTCTGGGACTTCTATCAAAGATTCAGCTCACTGTGGGTGCCCTGATACAAGATAAAGTTAGTGCTATTTTTGAAAAGTGGAGAAAATTGTCATATCAGTAGTTACAATATAACCGAGGAATTGAGGATTCACCACAAAACAGTTTTGACCCATTTGAAGAAATCTGGCTATACAAAAAAAGCTCGATATTTGGGTATTACACAAGCTCACTGGAAGAAACCTAATGAATTGTATAATCATTTGCAATTCTCTATTGAAATGTAATGAAACCAAACCATTTTTGAAAAGATTTATCACTGTTGATGAAAAGTGGATCACCTACGACAAGAATGTGTGAAAAAGATCATGGTCACACACTCCACAGACTGTAGCGAAACCCAGATTAACAGCAATAAGGTGATGATGTGTGTATGGTGGGATTGGAAGGGCATCATTTATTATGAGTATTTACCGCTGGGAAAAACCATTTTTTGTATCACCTCTTCTAATACAGTGGCTGAAAAATAAAATTTTTGTAGGCCAAAATCTAAAGTTTGGGGCTGAAAACTAGCATTTTGAATATTTTTCGCTTCAAAAATAATAATTAAAATTTTTTTTCTTTTGTAGCATCAATGAGTTATAAAAATGAAAACTACATTACATAAGCTACAAATTAACATTAACAGCACTAGATCACCATAATGCCAATTACTTTTTATTGTACCTTAAAATTAACAACTCCACTAAAAGGCCGATAACCAGCGCAACAACCCTATATTATGATTAAATTTAATTAAAATTTGAAAAAACCCTATATTATGATTAAATTTAATTAAAATTTGAAAAAAAATGCCCGGGGATTTGTATATGAAATACGAAGAAACTTTTTCCCCAAACCGTATATTTAGTTTACCTACCATTTACCTACCACCAATATCTGTTCACTTCTTGTACTCTCCTCTAACTGGTTACTGATATTTGATTGTGCAATATCGTCAATCTCATTTTTTAATGAATCATTTTCTGAGTCAGAATCATATTTTATATCCTCCGAACTTTGGTCACTATCCACAATGTGATTATTCTTACTGGGGTTGGAAAAACACGATAGTAACTGACTAAGAGTATCTTCATCTTCTTCACTCTCAGAGAAATGTTTTTGTTGAAACTTTTGTTCTAAAAGCTTTTTTTTTGCAAGTTCTTCTTCCACCTTTTGTTTATTTTTGTATCGATTGAAAATAGCTTTTTTATTGGTAAATTCTGTTTCTTTAGATAACTTTTTTCTTTTTTTATCGACTGATTTAAATCCTTTCCTTTTCTTAACAAAGAATTTTTTGCCTTTGCCCATTATTTAATGGTTTTTTAAAATGTAACTATAAAATAAAATTAATGTTCAAAAAAAAACACATAGCATCATTGAATGTCTAACAGATAATTAACATTAAATTCAGAAGTTGTTTTTATTATTGAATATTTATGAAATTACTATCTTACTACCAACTTTACAGTTATATACAATTAATATAATAATATATAATGTTATTTAAGAATTTAATACAAAAAGTTCTTTATTTTAAGTTTTCTGTCTGCCTACCATCTGCCTACGATCATTTAGGTTATAATTTTTGGGTAATGGGTATGTCGGGTATTAGAGATGAGACGTATTTACGCTACCAGGTTTTAAAACCAGGTTTTCGCTTCAAAGTACGGCGCCCTGGTACGGGCAAAAAATACTTGCAAGTATGAAAGTATGTGTTGTAAGTCAGATCCTCGAAGAACTTGAACACAATGAAAATACTTGCATAGGAAAATGATCCATATCTTAATAGGAATAAGAAACTCAATCGTATTTGTGAATAAAAAATACTTTGAAGTTCAAAGTATTTTTTTATTTATACGACTTTGCTCCTTGTTCATATTAGGATAACATGGAATACGGGTCGTATTCCTATGCAAGTATTTCAAAGTATTTCCAAATTTTGACACCGAAAGCAACGCGGGGTTCGCTCGACGCGTTGGCGGGAGGGACTCGCAGAGAGTAGGTTGTCGAGCCCTAGTATTTCCGACGAAGGCCGAATGCTTGAACGGAAATCTGTGTAGGTACTTAATGCACATGCCATCCGATCGGATCGAGAACTTGTCAATCAAATAAGCTAACTAAAACGAAACTAATTAAGGAGCATAATTGCCTAAACATGCTATTCATAAAATTTCTTTTGACTATTTTGCACCATTCACCCTTATATCTGTATACAAAAGAGACATTATTGCGTGTATTTTATTTATTCGTAAATAAGAGAATTATGTTTATGTTCGAGGAAGTAAAAGTTTTGTTTCGATTTTTTGTAAATTCAGTTGTTATTGTGAACTGAGTACGTAACCTACTGACCGTGACCTAATTTTTAAAGTTATTTTGCGTGTTTATTGAATTTAGAGACAATTTTTAAAGTTTTATTAATTAATGTTTAAGTACGTAAATAAATAAAACTGAACATTATTGTGTTTATTAGTTGGAAATGACGATGTTTAAACTGTAAATAATAGTGTGTAAATAGTGTTTTTTGTGTATAGATCATAGGTTCTTGTTGTGAATAGTAAATAGATCTTCGTACATACAAATCCATAAGTATGGCTACTAAGAAAAGTTTGGCGTGGGATCATTTTTTGGACAAAGGAGAAAATAAAGCCGAATGCAAGATGTGTAAAGTAATTATATCGTACAAATCTGGAGTATCAAACCTTACCAAACATGTACATAGAAAACATATTTCTGTTAATTTAATGAGAAGGGAGCAAGAGGTACCGGCGCATGCTTTACAAAGTACACAATTTACAATTTCCAATACTCCACTGCAAACTGACGCACCACCTAATACGATAAGGTCCAATACAGCCACTATGCCCACTATCTCGGCATTCCTTCGACGCGATTGTCAAAAAATAAAAAAGCAAATTGATGATCATTTGATGAATTTGTTTATATGGGACTTGCAACCATTTTCTGTAGTGGAAGACAAGGGATTTCGCGAATTAATAAATTTGCTTTCCCAAATTATATTATACCGTCGCGAAAATTTACATGCTAAATACTTGCAAGTATGAAAGTACATGTTGTAAGACAGATGCTCGAATAACTTGAACACTATACGTGAAAATACTTGCATAGGAAAATAATCCATATCTTAATAGAAATAAGAAACTCAATCGTATTTGTGAATAAAAAATACTTTGAACTTCAAAGTATTTTTTTTATTTATACGACTTTGCTCCGTATTCATAATAGGATAACATGCAATACGGGTCGAATTCCTATGCAAGTATTTTCAAATTTTGACACCGCGGCTGGACACGTCGCTCGCGTCAACAAATACTTTTAAGTATTTTTAGAACCTGGTTTTCGACCCTGGTATTTTTCCATACTCGTACTTAAAAGCCCTGGTATTAAATTTTGCAAGTATGTCTCATCTCTATCGGGTATGTTCCGAAATACAACGCAGTGTACTGTCCAATGCAAATGACGTATCATTTGACACTTTATTGTACTAGCGTGCCGCCGCCATATTGTGTCGGATATCCGGCCATAATAAAACAATTTTTAATTGTGTTTGCCGAATGAAGCATGCCAGAATTTGTTTCTATTTATTCAAATACAAAAAATTATAGAATAATTGATTATATCCATTAGGAGGATATAATGATTTTTGGAGCACAAAATGACAAAATAATCGCCAACACTTTTCCAAATGGCGCAAAAGTATGACGTCATATACTGTCCAATGTTTTGGAACGAATCACCAGTATAGCGTCGATTCATGACGTCATTTGTATTGGACAGTACACTGCGTTGTATTTCGGAACAAACCCTTTTTAAACATTCATAATTTCATAATTTATAGGTGTAACAGGCAAGGGGATCCACGCCCATGGTGCCTACTGCTGATACGTCATATTACGAAGTTTTTTAAGATTTTGATGTATTGTATATTGTACGCGTTAACCACAGATCACTATATATTAGGAATGGTCGTTACAAAACGTAACTAGTTACTTGAACTATCTATTCATACAATAGCGGGTAGCGGGTTATTGCAGTGCAACGAAACTATCTATTACAGTAGATGTTTTACTCAGTAACACGATTCACGTTTCACGAATCACGAACGAGCGATCAGTAACAAGAACAAAACGTTTATTTCGTTATTTTCGCGACGCATCGGCGACGGCTTTGGCTGTTTGGTTGTGTGGCTTTACGCTGTGGTAGAAGTACCACCGGTCGTCGAATGTCGAGTGAACGCGGGTGCTTTTGCATTTGACCTATGACTCTATTCCCTTCGTATAGATGCGACATTAGAAATGAGAAAGTAAGTGTGCATGTTTTTAACAAAAAATAGTTCAAATTCCATAATTTAAGTGGCCTTGGCCCGGTTTAAATTAGTCTTGTGTTTAAGTTTAATGACACGGTTTGTTTTTACTTTTTAGGTGCGTTTGTTAATATTTTTGTTTTCTTTTTTGTGCAATAATAATAATATTTTTAGTAAAATAAGAACTAAATATTATTGCATATATTAGTGTTAATAATAATAATTGTACAGTAATTAGTGTAAGTAACTAAGTGTAAAAATAATATTAAAACGTTACGTGATAGTTATCAAAAATATATAACTTTATGTGATAATTATTTGCTATAAAATCAAACTTATATTCAGTATTTTATGCTGAACTTGTGGGTGAATTTATCATAATCATAATTAATAAATAAATCGTTTGCCGTTAAATAAGTGATATTTTTGTCAAACCGTGCGAAATGATTTAACAAATAAATAAATTTAACCATTAACACCATGTCTAATTCTATACGAAACGGTAAGAAACAAGTTTTCTCGTGAAACGGAGATCGTTTCATCCGCAACGTTTTTCAATTAAACACGTCGTGAAACACTCTATTGAAGCCGCTATTAAAATAGAGTGGTTCAAAACCCTCTATTAAAATAGAGTGTTTCAAAAGCCTCTATTGATATTCGATAGATAGTTTCGTTTCGTTACTCAAAAAAGCCGCTACAACCCACCGCTACTATATATTACGTACTAGTCTGCGAGCGTTAGCTATAGTTCATAAAAGATAGCTTGATCTCTGCGACAGCAGTCAGTATGTAAATATATATTGCACTAATAATAATACACTAATAATATATAATGCACTAATTATGTCGGCATGCCCATAAAGTATGACATTGACAGGTACTGTCTGTACTACTAAGAAATTCAGGAATTCATAGGTGTGATTTTTACTGACAGCTGTCGCAGAGATCAAGCTATCTTTTATGAACTATAGTGATATACATTTTACTAACAAATACTATCAAAAATTATTGTTGGAAGTGGTAAAAAGATTTTTGTCAAAAACTCTTATAGACCATGATGTATTCTCCATAGACTTAGAATATACTGGCGTCTTAGACAACCTGAAAGCCCGAAAACGCGTGACCATTGTATGTGGTAGCTATAAAAATTAGTTTAAAAAATTAGACTATCGAAAAATTGTTGTTAAGGAAACGGTAAAAGATTAAAAAAATTGTTTAGTGTACGAAACTGAATCATCAACATCTTCATTACAACCCTTCACAATTCCACATATACATATATACATAGTGAACATAGGCCTCCTCCCCCCCCCCCCCCCAAGGAATTCCACAAAGCACGGTCTTGTGCCACATGTATCCGTCGATTTACTGCATGTCTTACCAGGTCGTCACCCCATCTAATATCTATAGCGAATATAGTGTTGCAAACTATAGTTAATACCCCTAGCACCATCTAGTGTCGGGTAGCAGAGCGAGGAGAGCTTTCTAGAAAATGCCACGCTAGATTCTTCCACCTCCAGCGCCATCTAGTATCAAGTGGCAGAACTAGGGAAGAACTTTCTCCACGTAGTCGATCGGGACCAGTAATTGCTGGAACGTTCTAGATGTTTCGTTGGAAAAGGTCTATATAAAGCCGTTTAGGGCCACGACCGGGGCAGTTTTGAATTGGCGACACAAGCGAAGACTTCGGAGCGAAATAAAGTGAACTAAAGTGTTAAGTGTGGTTAATTATTAGTGGGTTTTAAGTTTTAATTGGTGTTAAAAGTGATTAAAGTGTAAATTTTGGTAATTCAATCGGTAGTTTTTATTGTCACGAACCCTAAGCTCATAACAATTACTGGCAGAATTGGGATCAAATCATGCCGATTTTATCAAAGGACGACACGGAGGGTGTCCGTACCCGAAGTCAACGCCATGAGGAGACGGACCAGAGACGATTTGGTGGTGCAACGCCGCAGCACCTCCTACATCTGCAGCACCTGATGTA